GCCAGGGTGAAGTATGCCAGGGTGAAGTATGCCAGGGTGAAGTATGCCAGGGTGAAGTATGCCAGGGTGAAGTATGCCAGGGTGAAGTATGCTAGGGTGAAGTATGCCAGGGTGAAGTATGCCAGGGTGAAGTATGTCAGGGTGAAGTATGTCAGGGTGAAGTATGCCAGGGTGAAGTATGCCAGGGTGAAGTATGCCAGGGTAGTGTGAAGTATACCAGGGTGAAGTATGCCAGGGTGAAGTATGCCAGGGTGAAGTATGCCAGGGTGAAGTATGTCAGGGTGAAGTATGCCAGGGTGAAGTATGCCAGGGTGAAGTATGCCAGGGTAGTGTGAAGTATGCCAGGGTGAAGTATGCCAGGGTGAAGTATGCCAGGATGAAGTATGCCAGGGTGAAGTATGCCAGGGTGAAGTATGCCAGGGTAGTATGCCAGGTGAAGTATGCCAGGGTGAAGTATGCCAGGGTAGTGTGAAGTATGCCAGGGTGAAGTATGCCAGGGTGAAGTATGCCAGGGTGAAGTATGCCAGGATGAAGTATGCCAGGGTGAAGTATGCCAGGGTGAAGTATACCAGGGTGAAGTATGCCAGGGTAGTATGCCAGGGTGAAGTATGCCAGGGTGAAGTATGCCAGGGTGACGTATGCCAGGGCGAAGTATGTCAGGGTGAAGTATGCCAGGGTGAAGTATGCCAGGGTGAAGTATGCCAGGGTGAAGTATGCCAGGGCGAAGTATGTCAGGGTGAAGTATGTCAGGGTGAAGTATGCCAGGGTGAAGTATGCCAGGGTGAAGTATGCCAGGGCGAAGTATGTCAGGGTGAAGTATGCCAGGGTGAAGTATGCCAGGGTGAAGTATGCCAGGGTGAAGTATGTCAGGGTGAAGTATGCTAGGGTGAAGTATGCCAGGGTGAAGTATGCCAGGGTGAAGTATGCCAGGGTGAAGTATGTCAGGGTGAAGTATGCTAGGGTTAAGTATGCCAGGGTGAAGTATGCCAGGGTGAAGTATGCCAGGGTGAAGTATGCCAGGGTGAAGTATGCCAGGGTGAAGTATGCCAGGGTGAAGTATGTCAGGGTGAAGTATGTCAGGGTGAAGTATGCCAGGGTGAAGTATGTCAGGGTGAAGTATGTCAGGGTGAAGTATGCCAGGGTGAAGTATGTCAGGGTGAAGTATGTCAGGGTGAAGTATGCCAGGGTGAAGTATGTCAGGGTGAAGTATGCCAGGGTGAAGTATGTCAGGGTGAAGTATGCCAGGGTGAAGTATGCCAGGGCGAAGTATGTCAGGGTGAAGTATGTCAGGGTGAAGTATGCTAGGGTGAAGTATACCAGGGTGAAGTATGCCAGGGTGAAGTATGCCAGGGTGAAGTATGCTAGGGTGAAGTATGCCAGGGTGAAGTATGCCAGGGTGAAGTATGCCAGGGTGAAGTATGCCAGGGTGAAGTATGCCAGGGTGAAGTATGCCAGGGTGAAGTATGCTAGGGTGAAGTATGCCAGGGTGAAGTATGCCAGGGTGAAGTATGCCAGGGTGAAGTATGCCAGGGTGAAGTATGCCAGGGTGAAGTATGCCAGGATGAAGTATGCCAGGGTGAAGTATGCTAGGGTGAAGTATGCCAGGGTGAAGTATGCCAGGGTGAAGTATGCCAGGTGAAGTATGCCAGGGTTTAAGTATGCCAGTGTGAAGTATGCCAGGGTGAAGTATGCCAGGGTGAAGTATGCTAGGGTGAAGTATGCCCAGGGTGAAGTATGCCAGGGTGAAGTATGCCAGGGTGAAGTATGCCAGGGTGATATGCAGGGTGAGTATGCCAGGGTGAAGTATGCCAGGGTGAAGTATGCCAGGGTGAAGTATGTCAGGGTGAAGTATGCCAGGGTGAAGTATGCCAGGGTGAAGTATGCTAGGGTGAAGTATGCCAGGGTGAAGTATGCTAGGGTGAAGTATGCCAGGTGAAGTATGCCAGGGTGAAGTATACCAGGGTGAAGTATACCAGGGTGAAGTATGCCAGGGTGAAGTATGCCAGGGTGAAGTATGCTAGGGTGAAGTATGCCAGGGTGAAGTATGCTAGGGTGAAGTATACCAGGGTGAAGTATGCCAGGGTGAAGTATGCCAGGGTAGTATGCCAGGGTGAAGTATGCCAGGGTGAAGTATGCCAGGGTGAAGTATGCCAGGGTGAAGTATGCCAGGGTGAAGTATACCAGGGTGAAGTATGCCAGGGTGAAGTATGCCAGGGTGAAGTATGCCAGGGTGAAGTATGTCAGGGTGAAGTATGCCAGGGTGAAGTATGCCAGGGTAGTGTGAAGTATGCCAGGGTGAAGTATGCCAGGGTGAAGTATGCCAGGGGAAGTATTCAGGGTGAAGTATGCCAGGGTGAAGTATGCCAGGGTGAAGTATGCTAGGGTGAAGTATGCCAGGGTGAAGTATGCCAGGGTAGTGTGAAGTATGCCAGGGTGAAGTATGACAGGTTGAAGTATGCCAGGGTGAAGTATGCCAGGGTGAAGTATGCTAGGGTGAAGTATGCCAGGGTGAAGTATGCTAGGGTGAAGTATACCAGGGTGAAGTATGCCAGGGTGAAGTATGCCAGGGTGAAGTATGCTAGGGTGAAGTATGCCAGGGTGAAGTATGCCAGGGTGAAGTATGCCAGGGTGAAGTATGCCAGGGTGAAGTATGCCAGGGTGAAGTATGCCAGGGTGAAGTAAGGGGGAATGCCAGGGTGAAGTATGCCAGGGTGAAGTATGCTAGGGTGAAGTATGCAGGGTGAAGTATGCCAGGGTGAAGTATGTCAGGGTGAAGTATGTCAGGGTGAAGTATGCCAGGGTGAAGTATGCCAGGGTGAAGTATGCCAGGGTAGTGTGAAGTATACCAGGGTGAAGTATGCCAGGGTGAAGTATGCCAGGGTGAAGTATGCCAGGGTGAAGTATGTCAGGGTGAAGTATGCCAGGGTGAAGTATGCCAGGGTGAAGTATGCCAGGGTAGTGTGAAGTATGCCAGGGTGAAGTATGCCAGGGTGAAGTATGCCAGGATGAAGTATGCCAGGGTGAAGTATGCCAGGGTGAAGTATACCAGGGTGAAGTATGCCAGGGTAGTATGCCAGGGTGAAGTATGCCAGGGTGAAGTATGCCAGGGTAGTGTGAAGTATGCCAGGGTGAAGTATGCCAGGGTGAAGTATGCCAGGGTGAAGTATGCCAGGATGAAGTATGCCAGGGTGAAGTATGCCAGGGTGAAGTATACCAGGGTGAAGTATGCCAGGGTAGTATGCCAGGGTGAAGTATGCCAGGGTGAAGTATGCCAGGGTGACGTATGCCAGGGCGAAGTATGTCAGGGTGAAGTATGCCAGGGTGAAGTATGCCAGGGTGAAGTATGCCAGGGTGAAGTATGCCAGGGCGAAGTATGTCAGGGTGAAGTATGTCAGGGTGAAGTATGCCAGGGTGAAGTAGCAGGTGAAGTAGCCAGGGCGAAGTATGTCAGGGTGAAGTATGCCAGGGTGAAGTATGCCAGGGTGAAGTATGCCAGGGTGAAGTATGTCAGGGTGAAGTATGCAGGGTGAAGTATGCCAGGGTGAAGTATGCCAGGGTGAAGTATGCCAGGGTGAAGTATGTCAGGGTGAAGTATTGCAGGGTTAAGTATGCCAGGGTGAAGTATGCCAGGGTGAAGTATGCCAGGGTGAAGTATGCCAGGTGAAGTATGCCAGGGTGAAGTATCCAGGGTGAAGTATGCCAGGGTGAAGTATGTCAGGGTGAAGTATGTCAGGGTGAAGTATGCCAGGGTGAAGTATGTCAGGGTGAAGTATGTCAGGGTGAAGTATGCCAGGGTGAAGTATGTCAGGGTGAAGTATGTCAGGGTGAAGTATGCCAGGGTGAAGTATGTCAGGGTGAAGTATGCCAGGGTGAAGTATGTCAGGGTGAAGTATGCCAGGGTGAAGTATGCCAGGGCGAAGTATGTCAGGGTGAAGTATGTCAGGGTGAAGTATGCCAGGGTGAAGTATGCCAGGGAGAAGTATGCCAGGGTGAAGTATGTCAGGGTGAAGTATGCCAGGGTGAAGTATGCCAGGGTGAAGTATGTCAGGGTGAAGTATGTCAGGGTGAAGTATGCCAGGGTGAAGTATGCCAGGGCGAAGTATGTCAGGGTGAAGTATGTCAGGGTGAAGTATGTCAGGGTGAAGTATGTCAGGGTGAAGTATGTCAGGGTGAAGTATGCCAGGGTGAAGTATGCCAGGGAGAAGTATGCCAGGGTGAAGTATGTCAGGGTGAAGTATGCCAGGGAGAAGTATGCCAGGGTGAAGTATGCCAGGGAGAAGTATGCCAGGGTGAAGTATGTCAGGGTGAAGTATGCCAGGGAGAAGTATGCCAGGGTGAAGTATGCCAGGGTGAAGTATGCCAGGGCGAAGTATGTCAGGGTGAAGTATGTCAGGGTGAAGTATGTCAGGGTGAAGTATGTCAGGGTGAAGTATGCCAGGGTGAAGTATGCCAGGGAGAAGTATGCCTCTGATGTATCACCACACAATGTGGTAGATCACCACTCAATGTGGTGATCTAATTCTCAAAAACAACAGCTGGTGTCTGGCTGTGCTCAGACGTGACCAGGAGTACTCGCACATCATTTCATTCTCGCCTCACGTACGGACGTTGTTTTTCTATGTTGACATTCTTTTTCTTGTGGATCTGTTACGAGGCGTCGAGGTTTTCCCCCTACTTCTGTTTTCAGCTTACACAACCCTTGTGACTATTCTTGAAAAGTTATTTGCAATCATTACTAATTATAATAAGTAATAACTAGGCTTCCTGAGCTGGAAAGGGAAATACTGAAAGAATGAAAACTGTCTAAAATACTGTAAAACCCTGTCATCTTACATGTTCGTGGGACAGTTCGGACAGTTCGGACGTGGGACATCCTACCAGAGTGCAAAACATTTACAAGGTTTCCAGTTCTCACTTATATGAGAGGAAGATAGCAACTCCTAGGCTGCAAGTTGTGAGTGGTTCCTAAGAGAACGAGAGAAGGATAATGAGGTACATACCTGGGTGATAATGTACATTTTTTGAGCCAACGGGGGAAAGTCTGCCAAAGACTGTCCCAAGCCGAAGGCCACGAAGGACCCTCGTTCAGGGTAGAGTTCGCTGTTGACCCTGGAGATAGTGGAGCGAAGGGACACCATTGATGGCCGCGAACTCAAGTTCCCGAACGACATGCCTCCAAACGATGGCCTCGACGACATGCCTCCGAACGACGGTCGTGACGACATGCCTCCAAACGACGGCCGGGAGTTCATACTGAGGAAGCCAGGCGACGACACCGTAGAAAAACGAGACTGTCTCTTCAGGAAGGGCAGCTTGTCCCTCTCCTCGTCAGACTCGTCTGCAGGAGTTACGCCATTTTTGACGACAGCTATAACTTTGGGCGGGTTCGACTCCCCCGTCTCTATCTGTATCTCTATTGGCTCCACCATCTGGAAAGCAACGTGCTGGGTGCTACCTTTGTCTTCCTCGGTCGAAGACATCCTGCTAGAGACCGCAAGATTTACCTTTCTAAGCCAGATATTGTCAGATACAGAACTTAAACAATGAAAACGATGATTCACAAGCAGAACAGCTTTCGAGCAGGCAAGTTGTGCGCACAAGTTGAGTATCACGTGAGAGACGACTCACAGAATCACTGGCCAGTCTTGGCCCCACACCGCTGCTCTCACACAGCACAACACACCCACTGACTACGACACCCAAACCAGATTTGGCTTCCCACGCTGCTCTCCGCTGTATTTATGTCGTGGCCGTGTGGAGAAGGGGGGATTATATTCCCCATCCTCCCTCCCTTCCAAGTCAACACCCATCCCTTCATCATCCCTCCCAACCCCTCTCCTTCCCCACGGCGACCCTCAACATCTATGTAAAAAGTGAGAGTAAATCGGTAAAGGCTTAACCACAGTTTATTGAAGCATTCCTTATACATGATTGTGTCTATATAGTACTAAATATTACCTAAGTCTAAAGCGTATACGGGAACTTGTATTAATAATGTATATTGATCATACTGGATGTTATAATGTGTATTGATCATACTGGATGTTATAATGTGTATTGATCATACTGGATATTATAATGTGTATTGATCATACTGGATGTTATAATGTGTATTGATCATACTGGATGTTATAATGTGTATTGATCATACTGGATATTATAATGTGTATTGATCATACTGGATGTTATAATGTGTATTGATCATACTGGATATTATAATGTGTATTGATCATACTGGATGTTATAATGTGTATTGATCATACTGGATGTTATAATGTGTATTGATCATACTGGATGTTATAATGTGTATTGATCATACTGGATGTTATAATGTATATTATACTGGATGTTATAATGTATATTCATTATGCATTATTATTTGTATTGATTATTATTATTATTAAAGATTAGCCGGTATTCTCCCGGCCCGGGCCTTGTCCAAGTGGTGGCTCCCTGTCTTGGGAGTGTCTGAGACCTAAGTCTGCTATGGGAGGAGGCGCAAGTACCTCCTCATCTTTGGGACCAACTGTCCCCAGGCCTAGCCACATCCCCCCCCCCCTCACGGGGCTCGTAGGGAGAAGCTAGGCCTCTCTGGTCTGTCATCCCCGCCACAAGGGGACTAATGGGAATGACAGTCTTATGAGCTAAAGGCTCGGGCTCAGGCACCTACCCTACCCTAGAAGGGTTAGGCATGGTGTCGATTTTTTTATTATATTATTTATTATAGAAGTCATACAAAAACTGAAGAAGATACGAATATTAACACATACTACTATGTTAATAATAATAATAATAATATATTTTTATTATTATTATTATTATTATTATTATTATTATTATTATTATTATTATTATTTAATGGTTATTGGTGGTCAAGAAGTACAAGAGATGCCAATATTACTCGTTAAGAACACATTTTCATGTGTAAACACTAGCGACCCTGCCAGACGTAGTGTGCTGGGGGAGGGGAGGGGTGCGGGAGGGAGGGGAGGGGAGGGGGAGGGGAGGGGAGGGGAGGGGAGGGGAGGGGAGGGGAGGGGAGGGGCGGGGTGTGGGAGGGGAGGGGAGGGGAGGGGAAGGGTGTGGGAGGGGAGGTGTGTGGGAGGGGGGGGTGTTGGAGAACTGAACAGCTGACAGCAGGCGGCTCACCAGACACAGGTTCAAGGTTCGAACTTTGAACCTGGGTAACGCACAATCTTTGCTACCTGCTTAAGTTGCAGTTTTAACGAACATGTAAAACTGCAACAAGGATCACCCAGTGACGTCGGTGTGAACTGTTACCTGCGTTACCTGCGTTACCTGCGTTACTTCTGTTACTTGCGTTACCTGCGTTACCTGCGTTACCTGCGTTACTTGCGTTACTTGCGTACACAAATAACCTGCACATGGGAGGAGCTTAAGACGACGTTTTGGTCCGACTTGGACCATTTACAAGTCACCTTGTGTTAGTGTGACTTGAAAATGGTCCAAGTCGGACCGAAACGTCGTCTTAAGTTTCTCCCATGTGCTGGTTGTTTGTGTATTGTTCCAGTCACGGTATTGTGACTTATTGCTCTGTTTCTCTCTTACCTGGTTCTGTTTATTTCTTGCCTGGTTCTGTTTATTTCTTGCCTGGTTCTGTTTATATCTTGCCTGGTTCTGTTTATTTCTTGCCTGGTTCTGTTTATTTCTTGCCTGGTTCTGTTTATTTCTTGCCTGGTTCTTTATTTCTTGACTTGTTCTGTTTATTTCTTGCCTGGTTCTGTTTATATCTTGCCTGGTTCTGTGTCAGCATAGTTGCTGATCCCTGTATTCCCAGTATTATATAGCATAGCATATTAGTATCATCCCTGTGCTTTAGACACGAGATCCCTCGTAGGCCTTTGGCTTTGTGTGACGTCATGGGATACACATGGGCAGTGATCCCTCTGTCCCGTCCTCACTCGGCGGCAGACCTTCAAGGCGTAGACAGGCTAGGCACTGGGCTCCATCTCTCATCTCAGTCTGACAATACACCTACCATCCTACAAGTGTGTCTACCTTATCCTACGATATCTCCATTCAAGAACCCTTTGCGATATCTGTTTATATCTTGCCTGGTTCTGTTTATATCTTGCCTGATTCTGTTTATATCTTACCTGGTTCTGTTTATATCTTGCCTGGTTCTGTTTATATCTTACCTGGTTCTGTTTATATCTTGCCTGGTTCTGTTTATATCTTACCTGGTTCTGTTTATATCTTGCCTGGTTCTGTTTATATCTTACCTGGTTCTGTTTATATCTTGCCTGGTTCTGAATATTTGAGATTTAGTCGCCGAGGTAGCTAGTTTACATAAGTTTAAGTACACCACATAATCTCAGGTACATTTAGATGATTCTAATCATGCTACATAGTAATTTAGGGCAAGAACAAATGGATACACAAAAGGTCTAGGAACTTGGCCCTAAAAAGGAGTACATATGGATTTATATCTACACTTGTCTTATCTGTTGTAAGCAAATTAATGATATTTATTTAATATGTCTGGTATCTTATTTTCCTAATTTGCCTTAACCAGTGGGTTCTGAAGATAGTGTTCATATTATTAACCCCAGAGGGTTAGTAACCCAGGAAAGGCATAAATAACCCACACATAGGAGAGAGGAGCTTATGACGACGGTTCGGTCCGACTTAGACCATTTACAAGTGACACTAACACACGAAGGTGAGGGAGTCAGTATAACCCAGGAAAATCCAGCAAAGTAACGCAGTGTACTTGCTCGCCCTACGTCCTGTCCTGCCTTGCTCTGGAGAGTGACCCTGCGTGGCCGCGTCGGGAGAGTTTTCTATGTTAGCCACTGAGCTACGGGATATGTGTGTGTCGTGTTTGCTATGCAAACGTTGGTAAGAAGGTAGTAAATGCCGGTAACTTAATGGGAAAAGAACGCAAGGGCGTTTTTCACTTGTCGGACACTGCATCTCAGTCTGGACATTCTACACAAGGAGTACCTTACTCTCTTAAGTCACTTCGTGACCGACAACCCCTCCTAGAAGACTGTATTGTGGAGACGGTCATTCCAAGGTCCACACTGCAACACCTCACCACATGCAAACACCTGATCTCTCCTGCCGTCTGCGCCTATCTGAGGGACAGTATGTGTGACCTCTGTTTCCAGCGTCCTGAATAATCTTCACTTGTGAGAGTTCTTCCGTCTTCACTACCCGTCCCCGATCACATACACAGCAAAGTTACTACCTACAACTTACATCAGACGAACAGGCTTTCTCGTAGGCTGGGAATTCTTTGTTCCAACAGTAAGTGGAGAAACAGGGGACGCCTGAATATATTAACAGTATCTCCTCTCACACATTGTCCTTCACAGAAAATGAGGTCCTTAGCCAAGGTCTCAAGGTCACTAGATATGTGCAAGAAAAACCACCTACTGGACACTGTCACTAGGAACCACTTCATTGACTCAGACCTTTTTCAGATGTTACTCATAATTACCACCGCTGCTTCTGAATAATCATCATCATCATCATCATCATCATCATCATCATCATCCTGTTATCTATAAGTTATCTGAGAGGTCTATCAGAGAACAATGACATTCTTGTAACTCCAGCCGATAAAAGTGAGAGTATTTTTACCCTAGGATTCTCTTGATTTCAACAACAAAGTGTTTGACATTGTTAACAACACAAACACCTACCGACCCATCACAAAGCAACGACTGAAAGAGAGCACCAAGAGGCACGACGTCTTCAAAACATAAAAAAAGAACTTACGTACAATTATCCCTGGGTAGTCTGGACCTGCCAGTAGCTTCCCAAAACTTATAAACCGGGCATTCCCGTCTAACCCATTGAGTTAGGTATCTTGAGTGACCCACACAAATTTGCTGGTCTAGTCTCCAGGGCACCATCAGTTCTGTATACTGGAAGTGAGGAGACTTATTGAGTAAATCTCCAACATCAACTTGAAGAACAAACAAATGGCCCCCTATGATATTACTTCCCTTTTTACCTATATTCCCATTAACACCACCGTTGACATTCTCCACAGAAAACTTACTGACAGACACAGTCTTCCAGCGCCCTGCCAGGAATTCATAGCCTTGGTGGACCTTTATATCAATCTCATCCAGGTTTACCTTGAGTTTACCTGGAGAGAGTTCCGGGGGACAACGCCCCCGCGGCCCGGTCTGTGACCAGGCCTCATGGTGGATCAGAGCCTGATCAACCAGGCTGTTACTGCTGGTTGCACGCAATCCAACGTACGAGCCACAGCCAGGCTGGTCAGGTACCGACTTTAGGTGCTTGTCCAGTGCCTGCTTGAAGACAGCCAGGGGTCTATTGGTAATCCCCCCTTATGTATGCTGGGAGGCAGTTGAACAGTCTCGGGCCCCTGACACTTATTGTATTGTCTCTTATTATGAAGACAAGTTTTTTCAAACTGTTTTGGCATGGCCACTGTCAATCCTCTATGCACTCCTACCCAACCTATTTATTAATTTAGATTTTTTAGATTTTGCCGCCGAAGCGGCTAGTTTATTGTGCACCCTATATCCATCCAGTGAACGGTAGCACACTAACATATTGACACACAAAAGGCCTAGGAACTAGATCCCAAAAGGACTAACAGGAGAACATCTGAATTTAGATCTACAATGACCATCTCTTGCAAGAAAATTTAGGAAATTTGCTTAATATATCTGGATCTTATTTTCATTACTAAGATATCTTGACAACACATAGATTATGATATTACCTCTATAT